TAAGGAAGACCATAGAAGAATTGATGCTTTTGAGTTATGGTATTGGAGGAGAATATTGAAAGTGCCACGGGCTGCCAAAAGAACCAATATCTCCATTTAGAAAGAAGTGCAGCCAGAGTGCTCCCTGGAGGCCAAGATGGCCAAACATCCTGTCTCATACTTCGAACATATTGTTAGAAGGGACCAGTCACTGGAGAAGGATATCATGTTTGGTAATGTGGAGGGTCAGAGAAAAAAAGGAAGACTCCAAACGAGATGGATTGGCCAAGTGGCAACATCGATGGACTCAAGTGTGGCAACAGTAATGAGGCTGGCCCAGGATCAGGCAGTGTTTTTTCTGCTGTGCATAAGGTCGCTATTGGTTGGTACCAACTCGATGGCACCTAACAACAACAAGTTTTCCAAGGAGCATCTGGTGATCTTGAACCGCCAACCTTGTGGTTCAAACCAACTTTGCAGTCCAATGCATTAACCTGCAGCACCACACCAGGACTTTAAGTACTTATACTAAGGAAGAAGAAGTCACAAATTTTAAGTTTCAACCCTAAGAAATCAGAAAACAAGGAGCAAATTAACTCCAAAACAAATGGAAAGAAATAAATTATAAAAGATAAAAGTTGGAATCAATGAATTGGAAGGAAAACACCCAAACAGTAAAGAAAATTAGTGAATCCAAAATCTCTTTCCATGGAGTCAGTCCATGGCAGCATCACTGGACTCAAGTGTGGCAACAGTAGTGAGGTTAGCCCAGAATCGGGCAGTGTTTCTTTCATTCTGCTGTGCATAAGGTCTCTATGGGTTGGTACCGACTTGATGGCACCTAACAACAAGAACAATGTAATCATTAAAATGATTATGTAAATGTGTGTTAATTGAAGGGAAAGCATGCCCACAGTATAGTGTGTATGGGGAAAAGGTTAAAACAGTACAACATACATTTCTGCGTTGATGTGGGAAAATGTAAATAAAGCTTACCAAACAGAAAAATGCATCTAAACCTTAGAGTTTAGAGACTTTACTGGAGCTCCTTCAGATTTGATATTAGTCTCCAAGTCAACTAACTGATACTCATGACTCAAATCTTGCACCCTAAATGACATTGATGCTCTTTCTAGCCCAGTTAGTCCCCACCCTAACTCATGTTGAACAATCCAGTGTCACCCAAGGCCTACACGCAAAAAGGACACTTCTATCAAGTATGAATTCGCAGGGCTTAAAGATCACTAAGAACAGCAACCAGACCTCTTCTGGGGCAGGATAAAATTC